TAGAAGAGAGTGTCAGTTCCACTGGAGCTGGAGTTACAGGAGGTTGTGAGTCACCTGATATGAGTGCTGGGTCCTCTGCAACACCAGCAACTGCTCTTAACTGCTAAGTTATCTCTCCAGAACCATCTATACACTATTTCAATCACCCATGAACATAATTCAGAGAAAATGGTCAAAAAGAATTAGGATTGCCACTAAGCTCCATCTAACGCCAAAGCTATTATCCTCTCCATCATTCCTACTGGAAAAGTAAGTGATATTTCTGTTCCTCCCTGTTTCTCTGTTTTACTGTCTTTATTCTAGGCCTGATGCTTGTAAGCTATGCTTCTTAGTGGAGGTGGAGGGTCTCAGGAAAGAAATTGATGAGTTAGAGCATAGAGTTGCAGGAAAGGAAAGCAGTGTATTACAAAGAAGAAGGACATGAGTAAGAAAACAAATTTTATCTCCATAGGCTACAGAAAGGCACTCCTCTGTGAATTCATTCTTATAGGCAGGAATCAAAATTGGTCTCCTAAGGACCCAAGTGAGAACCCTGAACACAGCAAAGTCATTCCGGTTGGCTTAAAGAGCCCCCACGCCCACCACCCCAAAACCAGGATAAATCTCTATGTATCACTGAAGCAATGAAGTGCGAGTCTTTTATCATTGAGAAATTTGTAGATATTAATGAATGGAAATGCTATCCAGTATGAGTAGTTCACTCCTTCACCCTGATTTGAGTCTATTTTTCTGTGACTTTGCCTTCATATAAAAGTGTATTTATGATGGGTTTATGTGATATGACTTGAATAGAGTGTGGGTGCTGTGTTTTAATTAATATTTCAAAGTTTTTAGCTAAGTAGAAATGCCTTTAAAAACAAGAAATGGCAAGTTCAAATTTTAACCCAGTAGTGTTCAGATCATCACCCAGCTCTTGGTTAGTGATGGTTAATAGTGATTGTCAACTTGACAAAGTGTGAAATAACCTAGGAGCAAAAATCTGGGCATGCCTATTAAAGAGTTTCTAGACCGGGTTAACTGAATTGAGCTGGGAAGACCCACTGTAAATGCAGGCAGCTCCATTCCATTGACTGGGGGCTTGTACAGAACAGGAAGGAGAAAGTCAGCTGAGTGTCGACATTTATCTCTCTTTCCATGACTGTGGATGCAATGTGGCCAGCTGCTTCCAGCTCCTGTTACTGTGCCTTCCCCAACACTCTACCTTCAGAGTACAAGTCAAAATAAACCTTTCCTTTGTTAAGTCATTTTTGTCATAGCAACAAGAAAAGTAGCGAATACAGAGCTGCACCTGTCCTTATTTCATAATCAATGGAATTTATGAAGAATGTGGCACACCTATTGCTATTTTCACTGTCTAAAATAGCTATGTCATGATCAAGTTCAGGCAACTCAAGGTTTTCTTGAACTATCCATTCTCACAACATAACATGTGAGTACTAATTGACTGATAGTTCATACTTTGCTGTTTATTGAAGGCATATAGTATCTTAGTTTTCAATGTTACAGTGCTGGATAGGATTTGAAGAGCATTTTGATCCATTTTTTCCAGGTATGTAATCATGTGATCTTATGCAACTAATAAGGTATCATGGAATGGTTTTAGAAATAATATATAAGGAGACTCAGGATGTAGATCAATTTCTAGAGTATTAGCCTAGCATCCACGAGGCCCTGGGTTTAGTCCCCAGTACTCTGTAAACTGGGCATGTGGTACATGCCTGTGATCTTAGTAGTTGGGAGGTACAGGCAAGAGGATCCAGAATTCAAGATCATCCTCAGCTACATAGAAACTTTGAAGCCAGCCTGGGCTATGTGAGACTGTTTTACAATAAAACACAGCAAAATAAAAACAAAAAGAAATAATGTGCAGAACTGTCATGTGACTTAAAATCTATATATACACATAGATTTAAGTGGTTGAGGGCACTGTCTCAAAAAGTAGCAAATTGAAAAATATGCCTTTCAAGAGACATGGTAAAAACATTTCATAAATATGCGTTAGTTGACTCAATAAAGTCCCTGAAATTCAGAAGAGCTACAAAGTAAATGGCAACTGGACTCTACAGGATATGAAAATTCACGGATGTCTTGAAAAGGAGTTCATGCAGTCCAGGGCTTCAACCTCAGAACCCTACACTTCGATCCAAAGGATTTTCCTCTCTACAAATGTTTGTTCTAGTGTAAGACTGTCAGTGTATCATAGCTGTGTATGCTGGGGCTCGCCCACACATTCTGCTTCAGTTCAAAGACACTGAACTTTTGTAAGGAAGAGAGTGACCCGCATGCTCTATTGATGTCTTGTTTAGTACTTAACAACATTTCCCCAGTCACGTAGTTCCTCTGCTCTTTGATTCTCAATCTGCCTATGTGGTTCTGGCTGTTGTAATTCTACAGAGGGCAGATTGCCATGGGCAATCAGAGTGAAGTCTTGTGAATGCTGGGAGGGGGAATTGCTCTAATGCCTGATGGATTGAAGAGTGAAATATCATTCCTGTTTAGTAATTCTAAAAAAAAGAATCTATGTTCCACCCTTGGAAAGTAGGCCAAGGGCAACTACCTGGTTAAATTTCATCATAGAACCACTTCTGACCAAATGCCACAGCACAGGCAACTAGAAAGTGCAAATTGGAAATTTATTAGTGTCACTTGGACAGCAGTGTACTATGTATGTCTCCAAGTATTTTTATTTTGTACATGTGAATTATGTGAATGTGTAGAGAAGGGCAATAAGCTCCTCGATTGCTCTCCACTTGGCTCTGCTTCCCCAATGCTGAGATTAAATTCACAGCCCACCATGTCTGAATTTTTATATGGGTTCTGGGGATTGAACTCAGGTCCTTGTTTACATGGCAAGAAATTTACCAACTAGTCATCTCCCCAGACCCCAGTTTATATTTCATCTAATATGTTAGGTGTCTATTTTGTATGTTAAACTAGAAAACCTCTAGGGGTTTTTCTGACATCTTTTCCTATATTCAGTATAGAGGCCAAAAAGATACTTGGAAATGCCACAAAATAAAGACCCACCTTGTTCGCCATTGGGAGTGGGCTTGCAGCAGTCTTGATTTTTTTATGTCTCTCCCCTTTTTAAATTTCTTTTATTATTTTTACTTTATGTGTATGAGTATATTGCTTGCATGTAGGTAGGTGCACCTGTGTCCTGCAATGTCCATGGAGGTCAGAAGAGAGCTCAGATACCCTGGAACTGGAATTATGGATGGTTGTTAGCCACCATGTGGGGGCTGGGAACTAAACCAAGGTCCTCTGCAAAAGAAGTCAGTGCTCTTAAACACTGAGTCATCTTTCCAGCCCCTCTGTCTCTCCTCTTAATTACTAAAATATAGTTGGCTCTAATTTCTTTCTAGTCTTCCATGTAAATTGAATGTATACATCCTACTATATCTTTCTTCCCTATTTGTTGCTAAGTGCTAGACAGTAGTTCCCTCCTTCCTCTTCAAATTAATAAATATTAAATGTCTTGTATTAAACGGCCACTATAAGGACTGCAAGATGTTTCACTGGGTAAAAGCTTTTGATGTTAAATCTCATGACCTGAGTTCAATCACTGAGAACTTCATACATGGTGGAAAGAGAGAACCATTTCCAAGAAGTTGTCCTCTGACTCCACTCATATGTCATGGCACATCCCAAAACATAAATAAATAAATAAATAAATAAAATGTGGCAAAAAATAAAAAATTTAAAGACCAGCCACTTACTTTTCCCTCCAACATACCTCTTTTATGTTTTATTTGATTTTTCTACAGAACAGTTCATCTGGTTTTCCTCTGTACCTGTAGGAAGTACACTCCCACCTTCTGTGCCATATGAATCCTTCCTTCCTTCCATAAGAAGGCATGTGAGACTCTCTACCTTAGTCCTGGGATAAGAAGTTGGGTACAGTGAATGCAGACCTGACTTAATGAAGTAAGCCAAGATGGAGCCAACCTACAGAGGGAGGCAGACATCCTAACTACAATACACAGAAAGGTGTTCTTAACAAATTATATGTTATTTTACAACTTAAGGAAAACAAAAATGAACAAGGGAAGGCCCAGCAACCTAGATATTTCCAATTCACATATATTACCTCATACTAAGAGGAACAAAACACTTAAAATGTTCTCTTCTCCATTTTTTAACTAACACCTTTCTTAAACATGCCCAATTATGATCTTATGAGCATGTTCATTATCATGGGTGTTTGTTTAAAGTTTTTTTAAGTTACTTAAGAATTTCAGTGCTAAATATATATATGTATATGCCAGCTTCCTTACAAATTACTGGTCAGCTGGCCTAGACAAATCAATTATTTTCAGGTTCAATAAGAGACCCTGGTGCAAAAAATAAGGTGGAGGGGCTGGAGAGATGACTCAGTGGTTAAGAACACTGGTTGTTCTTGCAG